CATATAATATACATATTATAATAACCCTGATATAATATATATATATATATATGTATATATGGTATATATATATATATATATATATAAATGGAACAGTTATTCATAGATATTCATGGAATATCTTTTTCATTCTTTCACTTTTAGCCTATTTGTGTTTAAATCAAAAGTGAGTCTCCTATACGTAGCATATTATTGATTTTTTTATAAAGTATTCAGCCAGTGTGTTTTATTTCATTTTCTGCTGCTATAACAGAGCACCACAGACTGAGTAATTTATGAAAATAAGAGTTTATTTGGCTTGTGATTCTTGAGGCTGGGCAGCCAAGAGCTCACAGTGACATCTGGTAAAGGCCTTTTTTACTGTAGCATAACATGAAGGACAACAGTTGAACTGAGAGACACAGGTGTGTACCCACACAGAGCTTTTTTTTCATATTACGTGTCTTTGATTATCTAACACACTCCTGTATTGAAAAAGAAACAATCTTTATTTTGCCTTCTGTGCCTAATCCTTTCTTAAAGGTCCCACCTCTTAATTCTATCATAATGGTAATTAAATTTTAATATACATTTTAGAGCCATAATCAGTCTATAACAGTCTTTTTATTGGATAATTTAGTCTCTTTCTATGTAATTATGGCTAGGAAGGACTTTCTATGTGGTTTTTTTTTTTTCTATTCATTTTATAGTTCATTTGTTTATACTGTCTTCTCTTTTTCTGACTTTTTATTGTTTTGTTGGTATATGCTTTGATTACTTTCCTTTTTGTGTTCTACAGTGATTTTTCTAGTGGTTATCATATGACTTATATAGAACGTATTGTACTTATAACAGTCTAGCTTAAGATGATTACAATTAACTGATAACAATTTAATTCATAAAAAATTTCATGCATAGAATAAACTCAACAAATTTTCTCTCTCCATACGTTTTATATCTTTATTTTCCACTTTATAACCTTTTTGTGAGCTAGGCTGACGCCACGGCACTCACTCTAGCCTGGAAAACAAAGCGAGACTCTGTCTGAAAAAAAAAAAAAAAATCTGTTTATCATCCCATAGGAGTGCCCCTGTACATGACATGTAGCATTTTTCTTGTTGATTTCAAGATTCTCTTGGTTTATGACTTTTAAATCTTTGATTACGATGTGTCTTGTTTTGGGTATGTTTGTATTGTTTCCAGAGTAGGTTAATCTTCTTTAAATTTTCTGCCATTTTCTCCCTAAAATTTAGAAAGTTCTCAGGTATTACTTCTTCATTTAAGCTCCCTGCTCATTTTTGTCTCTTTTCTCATTATAGAACTCCTATTACAAGTATTTTAGCATGCTTGATGGTAACAAGTCCCTTACGCACTCTCTTCACTTTGTTTCTTTATTTTGCTCTCTTGACTAAAATTTCAAATGACCTATTTTCTAGCTTGCTGATTATTTCTTCTGCTAAATTAAGTCTGTTATAAACCCTATCTAGTGAATCTTTAAATTATTTTATTTTTCAGGTCCATGCTTTATATTTGTGGGGGTTTTCAGTTTTAATCTCTTTAAATCTCATTTTCTTTATGTGTTTTTTTCTCTTCCTTTATTTAGTTGTTTTTGTTCATTTACCTGATAAGCATCTTTAAAATAGATATTTTCAATCCTTTTAAAATTACATTATAGATTTTCACTTATTTAGGGTCACTTGAATATTTATTTTTATACTTTCATTGGACTATATTACTTGGTTTCTTTGATGACTTCTGATTTTTGTTGAGGTGTTTGCCATTTAAAAAACAGCTATCTATTCCATCCTTTAGGGAATGGCTTTATACAGGGAATATTTGGCACTGTACAGCCACACTAGACATTCTGGGCACTTATCCAAACTGTTGGCAGGATGTCTCCTCTCTGGAGTCTGTATATATTTTCTACTTTAAAAAGTTTGCCTAATTCTTCTTAAGAGCCCTTAATATTTACATTCCATGATAAATTCCGTATATCCTGCATTCTCTCTGTTGCTATAATAGTTACTCGTCTTTGTTCTCAGTGGACTCAACATGTCATTTAAACTGTATCTCCATTTCTTTTCAGCACTACATACTAAAGGAAGAAATGAGCAGTCTTTGGAAAGCCCCAGGGAAGCCCATGATGTTGGGTATAGAATTGGATTAAATACTCAGTCAAATATTTTTGAAGACCAGAGATTTAAAATTGAAGAGGATATTTCTAAATGTGATCAATTTGATGGGTCCTTTGTAAAAAGTTTAGTATTCTTCCACCAACAGATAATACCATTTTGTGCCAGAATCTACAACTGTGATCCGTATTGTAAGGATTCTACCCAATCATCATTGCTTAATCAATATCAGGGAATAGATATTTGGGAAAAACATTACATATCCAATAAAACTTTGATGTCCTTTATCCAGGATTCATCCCTAAATAATTACCAAGATATTTATATTAATAAGAGAAATTATCAATGCAGTGAATCTGAAATAACCTTGAACCAAGACTCTTGCTCAAGAAAATATCAGAAATCTCAACATCCAGATATCCAGAACAAATATAAAAAATGTGAGAAAGTCTTTAATCAAGCATTAAAGCTTATTAGCAATGAGAATACCCACATTCAAGAGTATTCTCACAAATGTGATGAATGTATAGAATCTTTTACCCAGTCAGGGAAACATTCTGAAAATCAGGAAGTTAATATTAGAGAAAACTCATACAGATTTAATAAACATGAGGAGGTTATTAGTCAGTCATCCAATCTAAGAAAACATAACATAATCCATACTGAAAAAAACCTTTGCAAATGTAAAGAATGTGGCAAAATCTTTGACCAGAGTTCACAGTTTCAACATTATCAGAAAATTTATACTGGGGATAAACCTTACAAATGTAAAGGAGGTAGTAAAGTCTTTACTTGTTCCTCAAATCTTACTGTGTATCAAAAAATTCATAGTGGAGAAAAACGCTATAAATGTAAAGAGTGTGGCAAAGCCTTTAACCATAATTCAACCCTTACTCAACATCAGAGAATTCATTCTGGAGAAAAACCCTACAAATGTAATGAATGCAGCAAAACCTTTAATCAGCTAGGAAGCCTTAGACAACATCAGCAAATTCATACTGGAATAAAACCCTACAAATGTGAAGAATGTGGCATATCCTTTACTCAGTTGGGAAACCTTAGACAACATCAGCGAATTCATACTGGAGTGAAACCCCACAGATGTGAAGAATGTGGCATATCCTTCACTCAATTGGGAAGCCTTAGACAACATCAGCAAATTCATACTGGAGTAAAACCCTACAAATGTGGAGAATGTGGCATATCATTTACTCAGTTGGGAAGCCTGAGGCAACATCAGCGAATTCATACTGGAGTGAAACCCTATAAATGTGAAGAATGTGGCATATCCTTTACTAAGTTTTCAATACTTAGACAACATCAGAGAATTCATACTGGAGAAAAACCATACAAATGTGAACAGTGTGGAAAAGCCTTTAACTGTAGTTCAAACCTTGCTCAACATCAAAGGATTCATACTGGATTAAAACCCCACAGATGTGAAGAATGTGGCATATCCTTTACTCAGCTGGGAAGCCTTAGACTACATCAGCAAATTCATACTGGAGTGAAACCCTACAAATGTGAAGAATGTGGCATGTCCTTTACTCAGTTGGGAAGCCTTAGACAACATCAGCGGATTCATACTGGAGTGAAACCCTACAAATGTGAAGAATGTGGCATATCCTTTACTAGGTTTTCAATACTTAGACAACATCAGAGAATTCATACTGGAGAAAAACCTTACAAATGCGAAGAATGTGGCAAAGCCTTCAACTGTAGTTCCAGCCTTACTCAACATCAGAGAATTCATACTGGATTGAAACCCTACAAATGTAAAGAATGTGGCAAAGCCTTTAACCGTAGTTCACACCTTACTCAACATCAGAGAATTCATAACGGAGTGAAACCATACAAATGTAATGAATGTGGCAAAGCCTTTAACTGTAGTTCACACCTTACTCGACATCAGATAGTTCATACTGGAGAAAAACCTTATAAATGTAAAGAATGTGGTAAATCCTTTACCCAGTCTTCAGGCCTTAAACTACATCAGCGAATTCATACTGGAGTGAAACCCTACAAATGTGAAGAATGTGGCATATCCTTTACGAGGTTTTCAATACTTTCTCAACATCAGAGAATTCATACTGGATTGAAACCCTACAAATGTAAAGAATGTGACAAAATCTTTTCCTGTAATTCACAGCTTACTCAACATCAGAAAATTCATACTACAGAAACCCTATAGATGTAATACATGTCAAAACAGTTTTACCTAAAATATAGAACTTAGAAATCACCATAGAGTTCATTGGAAAAGAAACTTTACATATGTAATAAGTATGGGGAAGTATATAATAGAACTTTTAAGTCTTTGTGCATCAGCAGATTCACATAAGTAAATACTAAAGCACACTTTCAGATTTTATACTAAGTATTTATTGTGGAGAACAATGCAAAGTCAAAGCAATTAGGTAATTTATTTGATTATGTTTTTCAAAAGGGCAAGAACATTGATGTTTGGGTGAATATAATTATGTTCAGTGGCTACTTTATGTTGAAAGTACCTGAGATTTTTCAAAAGTAAATATTGATGTAATTCAGTTCTCAAATTACTTGATGCTGTACTTTAATCCCTAGTGTTTATGGAAAAATATGAGTTCTCTTATTTCTCCATAAGAGCGATGAGAGGCCATTCAGTGTTAGGTGAATATTATTATCAGTTTTCCCTTGAAAGTTTAATGGCAAAAGTAAAATGCACTAGGAAAATCTAAAGGAAGATGATTTTTGTGCTTAAATTATAAAACAATGATGCATGCCATCATACAGTACGTGTCCAGGGCATTTTTCTTCCATATTAAAGTAAGAGAAACATTCTGAATTTTCAACATAAATCATTTTACTAATTGCTTCCTATGATCTTTATAGTAGAATGAAATAGAAGTCTTGAGTATTATTTGATGTTCGAGAGGACACAGAAATCTTGAGTGTTATTTGATATGATAGAAATAAAAACATCTTCACAGATAATCAGGAAAGAAAAGATAACTCCTGTTTGAAAGATTGTGTATGTATTCAAATCAATGTGCACTAAATAGCCTCAGTTTTTTAAATTAAAGCACAAGCCTAAAATTTCTGTATTAGACAAAAAGTAATGCTTTTTGACTGCTTGTGACCAGGAACATATAGTGAGTTTTAAAATGCTTTATTTGGGGTATTGGTTAATTAATTTGTTTTGAGTAATGAAACTAAATGGTTTTTAATGTTTTGACATTAAGGTACAGTGAAAGAAATGTTATCTTGCCACCAATGTTAAACTATCTTATCTTGTCCAAGATTATAGTTAACAGATGAAAATAATGTATTATTGGCTAACACAGTAGAATGCCTTTTCTAGTAATTTCTTCCTGAGGACCTAAAGTTCCAATAATTTGGAGAATTTTGTTCTCATGTTTACTATTTTGTATGTTTTTCTCTTTTTTGTAACTATGGAATTATTGTGATGGCTATAATAAAAATTATATGGGAGTATAATTTAAATCCATAGGTTTAAATCCTAAATCACTATTCACTATCACTAAATCACTATAAAATTTTACCTAAAATTTTCCTTTGTACGTGGCTCTTTTCTGGGCTGATTGAACAACACAGATTGTTTTGTTTTGATTTACAGTGGATATAATATACAATATATCAAGATAAAATTAAACTTTATATGAGAGAACTGTAGAAGAAAAATGCATGTGTGTGTTTGTACCTGTCAGAAGGAAATGGAAATAGTGGATCAAAACAAATAATTTCAGAATACAGGGTAATTGATGATTTAAAAGCAAGCCAGACCTTCTAAATTCTCAAAGCAACGTTAGTTTCTCTACTGTTCATTAAATTTATTTCTCACAAGTCTCATTTCTCCAGGGTGGCAAATCTCCCCATAAAAATCTTGGTTTTTTTTACCCTACTGCCTGTTCAGTTAATTTTTTTTATATCAGCATATTATGGGGGTACAAATGTTTAGGTTATGTATATTGCCCTTGCCCCCCTCTTCCCCACCCGAGTCAGAGCTTCAAGCATGTCCATCCCCCATTCAGTGCTCATCACACTCATTATGTATGTATATATGCCTACTCTCCTCCTTCCTCCCATCTGCCTGACTTTTCAGTTAATTTTATGATTTTATTGTCCTTCAAATTGTTAAACATAGATGGACTGTCACATGCTCACACTTTAGGTTGGGGCAGCTTTTACTCTTCAAGTTGGACAAAACAACAAGGTAGATATTTCTACTGTATCTCCTCACTTTCAAATTTATCCACAAAGCTAACTGCTGACGTAAATGTGGAGGTTTTCATATCCTCTTCTAATGGTAATTCTTTTCACTCTTTTTTTTTTTTTTGAGACAGAGTCTCGCTTTGCTGCTCAGGGTAGAGTGAGTGCCATGGCGTCAACCTAGCTCACAGCAACCTCAAACTCCTGGGCTGAAGCAATCCTCCTGCCTCAGCCTCCCAAGTAGCTGGGACTATAGGCATGCGCCACCATGCCCGGCTAATTTTTTTTTTTTTGTATATATTTTTAGTTGGCCAATTAATTTCTTTTCCATTTATAGTAGAGACGGAGTCTCGCTATTGCTCAGGCTGGTTTTGAACTCTTGAACTCAAGCAGTCTGCCCACCTCGGGCTCCCAGAGTGCTAGGATTACAGGCGTGAGCCACCATACCCGGCCCTAATGGTAATTCTTGATCTAACTTTCATATCCTCACCTCATCTGGTAACTGCTTCTTTGGCCACTTACAAATTTCCTAGTAATGGCCAGTCAACTGTTAATGCCACATGGTGACCTTGCTTACCCTAGGGGGCAATGCAGTTTTCTACTGACAAGTTTTCTAGGTCCTCAGGCATTTTAAGGGCATCCCTACACTCAGTAGTCCACAGGCATCTAACAAATGGGCAATATCTCCCAAATAGATGATAACACATACCCCAGATTTTCCACTCCAATACTTTCTTTTCTGTGCCTATGCTTTGGCCACTGGGCTTTTGCTGGCTAACTCTCCAATTGTTTTGTAAAATGTCCATATGTGCAAAGTGATGCACAAATGCCAAAAAAACAAAGAGGCAGACAAACCCACTTTGTCAGTAGAGGGTGATTTATTGGGTAATTTATGGACAGGTGCATGGTCATTGGTGGTAGCCCTTTGGGTTCAGAGGACCCAACAGGAATTCTCACCCAGGCAGTTTGGATCCACTTTGTTCTTAAATAAAAGGGAATTGAACTTGCATACCTCCCCATTCTCAGATTTATTCTTCCTTCTTTTTCCTCTCCATAGAAAAAGTTACAGAAAATTTACAAAATCTTAACAAAAGAAAACACTACATAGGGTCTACTCATCAAAGAAAAGTGGAGGCCAGGACATTAGGAGCAAGCATTTCGGGGGTGGGGATCAGAGGAGAGGGCAAGGTTGGAAGGGGTACTGGGTCAGGGGTGTGTGTGTGTGCGCGCGCGCGCTTCACTGTGTCACTGTAAGTATACTTGAAAAATAAAAATCACCAGTCATGTCTAATCTGGGTTAACAGGAAGAGAGATGTGTTTGTACGTGGACAGGTTGGAAGAGTGGAGACAGGAGGCCCTAGAAATTGGATGTGGTGATGGCAGCTGGACTGTTCAGAAGGGGTAATAAGCTGGCAGACTTAATGTCTCTGGCTCCAATACAGGTCCAAACTCTTGGCAAGTAGCTTTCTCCAGGCTGTTGGGTAGATGTGATATGGGGTCTTACTTCCTACCCTAAATTAGCTCAACAATTCTTCAGGAAGCAAAACCCCTTCTGCTGCTTCTATCTGCACAGCATGGGAAGGGGCTTGCACATATACTAGGGATGGGGATGGCAGAGGAATCCCATGGGCTAGGTGGACAGATGGGCTGCCCAGCTCTGGGTTCCAGTGTGCATGCTTGGGACTGACTTGTGTTTGCTGTGACCCCATGCTGCCCCTTGGCAGACACTGCTAATCACAGGATTATTAGCCCAGTGCCCAGTTAGAGACAGGTGATCCAGGTGGCTTATGAGATGGGGACTCATTCCTAGTGGATCTCTTCTGAATGTAATGAGTAAAAAAAGTGTTAATACCAATTACCGTGAGAAAACCATCTTATTAGTCGGAGATGGCACCTTGAGTAACTACTTCCCGAATGGAGGAAGAGGGTGTTCTGTGCAAATTCATTAGAATTGTGAGGCCTTTAGAAGGGCCTCAAACTCAGCTTGTGTGTGGTAATACCAGTGGGGCAGGGCAGGCAGGTGCTGCTCAACCAGGCCCCCAATATACCATGTTTTCTCAACATGGCTGGGCTTCACTAGGGAACTGGACAAGCATCAAGACCCCAGAAGTGTTGACCCTGTTCAGTGTTGGTGCTGGGTTGTGGTCTAGAGAAAGCTGGGACAGGGCTGCCATGTCAGAGAAAGAGGCATCCTCTCTTCGGGGGGGCGCTGGGCAAGTCACTTCCCTCTATGGGCCTCTGTTTCCTCATTTGGAATATTTAGGGATGATGAGTCTATTGTACAGGCTTCCCAGGGTGGCAATAGGTTCAAGGGAAAAAAGGAATGTAAGGGTGCTTGTGCCTGGTTCTTTCCTCAGAAAATGGTGAGAATAATGACAGTAGTTACATAAAACTCAGTCCTCAGGAGCCCCTGCAGTGTTAATGTAGTTTCCATCATGCTTTCTAGATGAAGAAAGCCTCAGGGAGGCCGGGCTGCCTGCCCAAGTTGACACAAGTGAGTGTTGGAGCTGGAGGTCAGTTGGGCTCACAGTTGACTGGAGGTGACTGTAGCATTTTACCAGGCAATTATCCAGGCTCCCACGTCAGTGGGGCTTCAGTGAGTGGAGAACAGTCTCATCGATCTTGTCCCTGCCCATTCAGTTGTGGAACTCCCAGTTGGCCACCCTGGAGAAGAACCCCTGGGGGCCCAGGTGAGGCAACAGAGGCAGAAGAATGTGAGTGTCTTTGTAGCAGGGAGAGTCTTCAGGGAGTCAGAGGACAGGGGCATTTTCCTTTCAACTGGAAGTCTCCATATCAAGAGATTAGGGACTTTTCTCCCCATCCTTCCTTTCTGTTGTGACAGTGCCTACAATGCATCCATCAGAGAGAGAAGAGCAAGGGCCTGGAAGAGATGTGCTGAGAGTGGATTTGGGGAATGGTGGAGCCAGGAACCAGAAGACATTGTGACTTGTTAAAATCCCACCATAGAGGTAACTAGAGGGTGCTTGCTGCTTTGGAGGCCAGCTGAGGAGAAACATGAAGATAATTGAGGGAAGCAGCTAAAGTTCTTTCCACCAGGTGGGAGACCTGAGTAGGGGAATCCAGGACACGGGGATTGATGAGATTTCAGGGACAGGTCTTGGGTAGGCACTTGAGGATGGTGCTGAAAACCGTTACCACCTCAATGGCACAGGGTGTCATCTTCCTGGGCACATTTCTCAATGACCTGGTGATGGTTGACACAACCATGAAAGATTATGTGAATGTGAGTGACCCTGGTAGGCAGGACAGGAACCGGGATCCTGAGGTTTGGGATGATAGAGCTCTAGACTGAGCATTTAGATCTCAGCACACAGCAAACCTCCTTTCATGAAAGCCTCACAGCTGCCCCTGTGAGCTGGGTCATCAGGCCCATCTTTCCCATGGGTGATGGCGACTCCACATCAGCTGCCTGTCTCTGCTTCCCCAGTTGTGAAGCTGCTGAGATTCTGGCCGAGCTGGACTCAGTCTCTCCCTCAGGTGGTGCCCATTGGAGGAGAGTGACACTGGGCCCCTCCACAATCAGGCAGCTCCTAAGTGGCTGAGCAGTTTCTTTCTGCTCAAGGCTTGGTTTCCCTTTCTGCCAACAATGGTGGTTGGGGCAGAAGGTCCCTACGCTCAGCTGCCATGCTCCCCTCCTGTACAGCCAGTGCCTGATGCAAGTCCAAGTGCTGTTTTGTGCACATGCACTTCCCCTGGGGGCCTGTGTGGTAGTGCAGAATGGGAGGGGCTGGGCTGGGATAGTCATGACCTAAAAGGCCTTTCTGATGGATGATGGCTGTGTTTCTTTGAGGTAAATGTAGTCAGCACGTAGAAAAATAGGTATCCGAGCAGGTGGGGTTCTCACTATGGGGGAGCATGAGGAGGTGGAAGCCAGAGTCTCCCGTGGCAGGACACTCTGGGTCCACCCTCTGCATCTTAGGTTTCCTGTGGGGGGTTAACACACAAAGAAGGAGGAGACCCATCCCAGTGCAGGCAGGAACTGGATCAAGGGCATATTCCTGGAGGAGGGTCTCTTTATACACAACTCTGAGAACAGGTTGGGCTGCATGGGATTGGAGTGGAGGAGGGACCCTTAAGAGAGAAGCCTCAGAGACCAGCCCCTGCTCCCTGCCTGTCCAGAGGCCGCATTCATCATCTCCCGTCCAGGCCCTGTCAGCATCCTGTCCTCCCTCTGTCTCCACGACATGAGTCAACCAGGAGATTCAGCTGCTCCAGGGGGCTGCAGACAATTATCATCTTCAGCCTGAGGAGCGATTTAGGGTTGGTTCCAGTCCATGGAGTGGCTCTGTCAGAATGGGTGGTGGCAGCTTAGAGGACTGG